TTACTATTAGCTTTCAGCTAATCTTTTACTACATGTAGCTTCTACAATGGTTTTTATTACTATTAGCTTTCAGCTAATCTTTTGCAACATGTAGCTTCGACAAAGCCTTTTATTACTATTAGCTTTCAGCTAGTCTTTTGCTACATGTAGCTTCTACATAGCCTTTTATTACTTATAGCTTTTAGCTGGTATTTTGCTACATTTAACTTTTACCTAGCCTTTTATTAACGTTTGGCTACTGCTTTGCTACTCACTGTAGGTGAGTGCTGCATTTAACCGTTTGCAAGTGTTTTGCTACTTTTAGCTTATGTTTAGCCACTTTTAACTCTTAGATAATGTTGTGCTTTTTTCAGTTTTATTAAACTCAGTTTCAGCTTGTTCAGCAGTCGTTCAGCACTCAGCTTTCACGCTGATGTTTATTTATTTATGGCTGTTTCAAATGTGGACAGAACCTCGTGTTTCTGTTGCTCTGGTCTGTTTTCGAACGAGACGCACCTTGATCCGTGCCACTGACTGGACGGTTTGTTCGTTCTCTCTGATCGAGCCCACGTACGCCTCCTTCTGGAAGAGAGGCGCGTTGTCGTTGATGTCCAGCACGTTCACTCGGATCCTTCCTGCCGTTTCCTCCCCGCCGCCGTCAGTCGCCAGCACGGTGAGCGTGTAACGGCGCATCAGCTCGTAGTCCAGGCTGGCCTTCAGAGTAACCCAGCCCGTCCCCTCGTCTATTGAAAACCTGCGTGAGAAACGAGTTGAAGAGGGGAAAAACGCCGGTTAGCCACGTCCGGCTGACGTATTGATGCTCTGTAAAAATGTTTGGATGCGTCTGCTGTGGATAAGAGATCAGAAGGACAACCAGCAATTATCAGAGAAAGAAAAGACAGAAAACAGCTGAAGGTTTTCAGAACCTTAGAAACACGTAAAGGTGGAGCTGTAGCCATTTGTGTCAAACCGTAAAATAACCTTTTGATGTCACACTCAGGAGCATGTCAGGAATGACCCTCGGCTACTGTCACACCAAATGTAAACAGCTGTAGACATCGAGCAGTAACTTTTTCTCTAATCGTTCTCTAACAAATGATGAGAGTACCGCATGCAGCACATTATACGCCCATTGATAAACCATTATACAGCGATCTAATACAATGGCCCAGACACGAAAATAACTTGTCAATCTTTGACCTTGATTTGTGACGTTGACCTTAAAGTTGGGGTGATGAACATATTATGGGACACGTTGTCTAACAGAGGTACAAATGTGCTTTAAATGTTGTTCAATGATCTTGAGGTATACAGACGTATGGATAATATACCATAATACTCCAGTGTTTCGATGTGTGCGTATATATAAAAAATAAAGATCCATCCATCCATCCATCCATCCATCCATCCATCCATCCTCTTGTTCTGGACTCAGATCTTGGTGCAGCATCTTGAGCAGGGAGGTCCAGACATCTCTCTCCACAGCCTCTTCCAGCTCTTCTGGGAGGACTCCAAGGTGTTCCCAGACCAACAGAGAGACATAGTCTCTCCTGCATGTCCTGGGCCGTCCCTGGGGTCTCCTCCCAGTTGGACATGCCTGAAGTACCTCCCTGGGGAGGCGCCCAGGAAGCATCCTTACCAGCTACTCGAACCACCTCAACTGACTCCTATCGATGTGTAGGAGCAGCGGTTCTACTCCGAGTCTCTCCTGATAACTGAACTTCTCACCCTGTCTCTAAGGGAGAGTCCAGCTACCCTGCAGAAACTCATTTCAACCCCCATGATCTCATTCTTTCAGTCACTACCCAGAGTTCATGACCATAGGTGAGGGGAGGAACATAGACCGACCAGTAAACAGAGATCTTTGTCTTACAACTCAGCTCCCTCTTCAATACAATGGACCGGTACGGAGTCCACAATACTGCACCAATCCATATGTCAATCTCACGCTCCATTCGTCCCTTGTTCGTGAACAAACCCCCAAGATACTTGAACTCCTCCACTTGAGGCAGAACCTCACCCTTGACCCAAAGAGAGCAATCCACCCTTTTCTGATCGAGGACCATGGCCTGAGATCTGGAGGTGCTGATTCTTATCCTAGCCTCTTCACACTCGACTGTGAACCGCTCCAGTGAGAGCTGAAGATCACGGCACAGTGACGCCAACAGGACCACATCATCTGCAAAGAGCAGAGATGAATCCTGAGGCCAGTGAATTGGACTCCCTCCACCCCCCCGGCTGCACCAAGAAATTCTGTCCATGAAAGTTATGACCAGAATCGGTGACAACGGGCAGCCCTGGAAGAGTCCAACTCCCACCCTGAAGGGGTCTGACTTACTACCGGCAATGAGAACCAAACTCGCGCACCGCTTGTAGGGACTGAACAGGTCGTAACAACGAGCCCCAATCCCATACTCACGGAGCACCCCCCACAGCGTACCCCGAGGAACACGGTCGAACGCCTTCTCTAAGTCCACAAAACACATGTGGGCAAACTCACATGACCCCTCAAGGACCCTAGTGAGGGTAAAGAGCTGAAAACAAAAAAATAAAGAAATAAATACACAAATAATAATAATAAAGTGCTCAAAGTAACAGTTAAACAAAGAAGATGTTTTGTTGCTGTTTGATAATGAACAGATGATGTCACAGGTATTTTCCTGTGATCTCAGACCAAACATCATGCGTGAGCCAGAAACTGTGCAGGTCAGCTGCTCACGAGCTTCCAGAGGAATTAAACATCAACACGGTTGTTTCTGAGGACTGTTCCAGCGTGTGTGAGAGAAATGTGTGAGTTTTCTTACTGGTCTGGATCGTCTGTGAAGGAATAACGAACGACCCCAAAAATTCCAGCATCTCCGTCCGTAGCCTGGAGCGAAAAGATGAAATAAATAAATAAATAAAAACTTGAAATTTACAATCATTTCTTTATGTTTAATAACCGTCGTCTCTCTTTCACATTTTCCATTTGCTACCACCTGTACATCCCAGAGAAGTAAAAAAAAATCATTTTAACAACAACTTAAAACAAACAATTGATCTAATATTTGTTAGACATCACTGTATTTACCAAAATATATACTTTAATATCAGTATTACACTTTAACTATAGTTCGACAGAGGACCAAAAAGAAGGATTTATAGAAAACTTTATTATATATACGGTACGATGTGCGGTTTTGAAATTTGCACCCAGAATCCTCACAACGTGAGTGCCGTTTTCCAACGAGATATTTTGCAGCATTTAGACAAAACCCTCAAAATGCTGCATATTATTTAATAATCAATATTTATATTAAACTGTATATGTCAACAACTGCCAGGAAAAATCTGAGTATAAAAGCAGATTGTGTATTTAGCCTCAAATATTTACCACCTACTGAAAGCTAGTGTTATTAGCTTTAAGCTGCCATTCAAACTTTATCTATTCTTTTCCTACTTCTGGCTTTTAGCTAGCATTTTCTTACCCTTAACCTTCAGCTGGCTTGTTGCTTGTGTTTAGCTGCTTTTAGCTTTTATCTAGCCTTTTGATTTTTTTCATTTTCAACTTGTGTTTAATGTTTAACTAAAGTTTTGATCTTTAAACTAGAACTTTGCTAATCCTAGAATTTAGCTTTAGCTAGCATATTTGTTGCATTTAGCTGGTGTTCAGCTTCTGTGAGCTTCAATAATATATTTTAGCTTCTTCAGAAAATTTCAGTTATCCAGCTCTCAGCGTTCTTACTGCATTGTCTGAGAAAATGCAAGTTTGTGCAGTTTTTATGTATTTTTACCAGAGGTTGTAGTATTTTGCTCTGTGATACCAAGAAGTAATGCATATTATATATATTTATATATGTATATACTATATGTATATGATGTCACTCCTGTGCATACGTTTGAGCTTGTGATGAGTAGCTGGCGTGGCTGCAGAAGGAAATTTGTCACGACAATGTTTTGCTCCGTTTCCCTAATTTTGTCACTAACAGCTGTCTGTGAACGTACGATAAAACCTGGAAGCCGTGCTTCACTCTCTGGATGTGTTGATTGGATTAAGTCTGATGGGAGGCGCGATACATCTTTACCCACGAGGCCGACTCCTGCCTTAAAAACAGAAACTACTGCTGTCGTACGTTTTGCAGATAAAACACGTGTCAGAGAAACTCCACGTAAAGAGCGCCGCTTCCATGAATCCTGGACTTTTATCTTTTTAAATGCCACAATAACACAACTCGTCTTTCTCTTCACACACACATTCAGGTGCACGTGCACACGTGGTGCTGATGGACCGTGCACGGGGACGGTGTAATAGAGTTTCACTCCAGTGGCTCTGAAGTCAGTCAAAGGGCCAAACTTGAAGGTTTCGGCTCTTTGTCAGCCACAGTGCTGCTCACAGAGATTCAGTGATGCCCAGATACTGAGCATGTCTGTTAGCATAATATCTAATAAAACACTGGACAAAGTAGAAAAATATATATTTTTTTTTTAAATTGAGAAATAGCATTTCCTGTAAAAATGCAGTGCTGAATGTGCTGCTGAGGTTTAAACCAGCTGAAAAGGTTTCATGGGTAAACTTAACATGAGTTGAATTTGAACAGCTGACGTTTGCTGAAAGCAGAAAAAAACAGTAGAAATGTAGAAAAAGCTAAAAAAAACCAACATAGCAGAATAAGTTGAAATAGGCATGGAGAGGCTGAACAAATTCCAAAAAAAAAATCTTAAATTAGCAAAAAAGAAACTAAAATGAGCAGAAAATGTTGAAATGAACCAAAAAGTAGCAGAAATTAAAAGAACGAGTCTGAAAGGACCATAAAAAGTTTAAATTATTAGAAAATGCACAAAAGGAATAAATGAGAAAAAAAAAAGTGCAGCCAACAGTTTAAAACTAGCAAAAACATATATAAGTAGCTGAAAATGAGGGGAAACATCTGGCAGAAAGAAGCTGAAAGGAGCATAAAAGAAGCTAAAATGAGCAGCTGAAGGTTTTAAACAGCTCAATAAGGTTTGAAGGACGTGAAGAGAGCTCATTTTCAATGAGAAAAACATGGCTGAAAAGGCTAAATGTTAAAAAAAAAAAAAGTAAAAACTGCACAAACATCAGAGCAGGAACTTCCTGAATGAGCCGAACGTTTTAAAGCATGAGTTGTTGATACAGAACAAAAACTGAAGCACGAGTTACGTGCCGAACAACGTACAGAAGAAAGACATCACAATAGCATAGGCGTCACAATTATATGTGAAGGGGACATGACCTTACATTGAAAAAATATTTGTTTGTTTGGACCCCCCCCCCCCCCCCACACACACACACACACACATTTACTATGAAATATTAGTTCACCCAGTGCTGTTTCTATTTCTTTGTAAACAAATCCATTCCACTTGATTAATAGGAGATTACTTAAACCACTCAAAGTCCACTCCGGGTTTTCTTGGTTTCCTACAACAACTCTCCACCCCCGCATGCAGCGTTTCCTCTGGATCACTTGCCAGGACGGGGGGAGGAGGGGGAGACACAGAGAGAAGTGGAGCGCTACATCTGTAGCATCTGTAGCATCAATAAAAAATCCTTGAATCCTCGTGTGTCTGTATTGCACGACGCTAGCTTAGCGTCAGTGCCGGCAGTTGTCTACCGTTGTGGCATGCGCACTAAAATAGTAACTGAATCAAGTGTTTACTTATGTAGGTAAATGTAGATGTTTAACAACCCGTTAAAATACACCAGAATGCAGGAAATGTCCTCTATTCAAATTTCTCAGAGGGAGGACCCCCAGACCCCCCACTAATATCCCCCCCCCCCCACATTACAAATGCTTCTGACGCCAATGCTCAATAGTGAGAACGATTCAGAAACATTCACACAATAAGGGGGATAATCGATGTAAACACATCTACAGCAGATTTAGTTTTGAAGTCAATCTCAAAATGGCCGTCACAGCTAATTAAAATCGACAAAACCAACAACTAGACAATTATCTGCCATTTTTACAGATATTGAGCTAAAATTAGGGGCAGAAGTAGCTGTTCACAACACACGCTCCAGGTGAGAACAGATCACTCGTAGTTCCGGCTCATCATAAAACCTTTGGTTAAAAGTCTGGCGGCGGGCGATATGCATTCCTCCGAGGAGTGCCAGGTCTTGAAGCACTCGAGTGTTCCTCTGATGTCTCGATGGCCTCATGGTCTCAGCCTCATTTCATCCTTCCTTCTCCTCCTTTATCTGCTGTTTTTCCTCCACCTCAGAGCTCTTCCTGACTCCTCTGTCTCTCCTCTATATCTCCTTCGGCACACCCTTGCCCCTAAACGCCCCCCGCCCTCCCCCCCTGCTCTGCTCCCAGGTGAATGACAGGTCCATAAGCACTCCCATGATAGCAGCGGTGCGGGTGTTAATGTGACAGCTTTCAAGGCAGCGGCAGGAGCCGGGCCCAGCTTGGGAGCCACAGAGCGGGGGCCCAGAGACTGAATGGAGAGACGATAGCCATCTCTTCCCCCACTCCTTACCCCCCACCCCCACCCCTCAATCATTGACTGCCTCGCTCACTCTTCCCCAGCAAACAATCACCGTGGCACCACGGCTCAGTCACTTTGCAAACTGCTCACCAAAGACGCTCAACTTCAGACGGAGACGACGGTTGTCAGATGGACAGCTGAGATTCGTGCGGGGGTGGGGGTTGGGGTGGTGGTTGCACCACGACACAAGGGCATGTTTTGGCCCCTTGTCACCACGGCAGCTTTAAATTTTATAATCTGGAGGCTAGAAGTCACAAAAATGTAGAAGAGTTGGGGTGCGAATCAATTACTAAAATAAAGACGTGGCATCTTGTGAAAGTGTGACTCTCAGCTACTACCACCCCAAACTGTAGCTCAGCATCTGTAAAATTCAGTGAGTTGTAGCCATTGTGGCCTTGGCCGCCGTAGATTAATCTTCAGTCATTTGAGGAAACTATGCTTCTATTTCATATAGGCTTCGCCCTTTAAGGCTGTCGCTGATGGGTTTATCCCGTTATGCAGAGCATAAGCACTGAAAAAAATTAGTCCACGCCCACCTGCTGTGTGGGCCCCACCCGGTCCGTATAAATTACGTTAAGAGTGGGAAATCGGCTCCCATTTTTTCTTCAGCGAGCTAATATAGCACTGTCAGAAGAACAAAGAAGATAAATTGTGTAAATGACCAACCTTTGCGAAAGATGCTTGGCCCGGCAGTCGACCTCCGGTCGTCCGGTGAGTTCTCCTCCCCGAGGAGAAGATGACAGCAGTCTTATTCCAAGGTAAGCGTCGTGGAACATTTCCCAGTGACAGGTCACTACACGCTGGACAACGCCATCTTGTGTTTTTTCCTCTTATCGCCGACCCTCGGGGCGAACCGGATGGTTCCTCCGGGGCAAGGCGTGCTCAGCTGCAGCCCCGCTGCTCTTTCCCTCCTGGGGAGCTTAGTGTAGGTGGAGGGGGGCTGAGTGAATGCTCACCCCATCCCACCTCGTTTCGCATCGGCGATCACACCCCGCTCCCGGCCGACGGCGCCCTCAGGGGTTGCCCGGCGGAACCCAGGAGGAGGCTGACATGAAGGGACCCCTTTTTTCTACGTCCCTCGCCTTTTCCCGCCAGTTCAGATGATCGGCGGAAAGGTTATTTTTCACTGGGCTCCACTCTGGCTCACCGTCTTGATCCATACGGCCTCGCGTTCCAACAGGACGTTCCACGGGCGAGGCCGCAGACGGTTCTTTCCTGGTAGATTAGAGGAGTCGGTCCCCAGTCCGCTCCCATCACCAGAGTTGAGGGATTCACCGAGCGGGGCTATTCCTCGGTAACCCCCCCTGGAGCCAAGCCTCGCGGAAGCTTCCGGAGCGAAGCTGCC